CCAGATTAAGGACAACAAGAAGTCCTTTTTTAAGTACATATTTAAAAAAATAGATGAAGCTAATTATGTTTCACTTTAACATTTTAGAATACTGCTACTTTCAAAATCATTACATGTACAAATAGCTGTTTAACAATACTTAATTTTAACAGTATCCAACCCAGATTAATTTTTGAACGCTATGTTGTTATTGATCTGGGACACAAGTTCCATACACTGGTTTGCCCTAAATCAGTTAAGTCTGATACTACATCCAACCAGGTTTATCTTAAATCAGTTTTGGTCATTTTGAAAGTGGTTTATGTGCACTGAACTTCTGTTCTGTTACAGGTTTAAATCAGTTTCTGATTCCTTAAACCAGTTTGTGTGTAACTTCTGTCCCTAGTGATTTCGTTTACTTGTCCTTCAATCTCCTTGAGCACAAGTAGTTCCCTACCTGCACAGGTTGATTTTATTTCTTAAAGAATTGCCTTCTTAGGCTCTATAGCCTGACCTTCTTCATATCACAGGCCAGAGAAATGTCCCCTAGTTATTTCTGTATCAAGCTTATAATTTCCATTTGCACTACAGCATCTCTTGTTGACATAAAATGCAATGGATACTGCACCATGTGGAGTTCTGCAATCCAGGTTATAAGTAAATTGTTCCAGTAATTCATTATCTTCACTATTAAAAATTGCACTTTAATGCCTAATTTAGATGTGGCTAACTTTGGCTCCTGATCACTAATCAAGCAATAAAACATATATGGAGAGTCCCAAAAGGTATCTGTTTCCAGAAATCTCTTTCCTGTGCATGTTTTTGTAAAGCACAATTCAAGCCAGCTATTAAAAGGCAAACTAAAGCAATTCAGGTTCTTTAGTCTCTCTCTGTAAGGCTCTGTCACTACACTGAAACTAACTTAAAAACCCTTGAGGCACTGGTTTGGTCTGAGTGAGAGCAGATACAAAGGCAACTGCTATTCTATCTATAGCACAATAAGTCTTTATGATAGGAGGTGCAGTCCTCATTTTGCCAACATTCACATGTGGTGTGGACATTTGGCTCCCCAGGGACAACCAGCAGCAGTGTACCTTGCACTGCTGCTAGTTGTTCCTAGGGAACACCTGTGCCACACACACTATGGCATGCAGCAAGTTACCCCAGGGGCCGTAGGGAAGGCTGAGACCAGCGCTGGGCTTGCTTGGGGTTCTGGAGGCCTCCCAGGGCTGCTGCAGTGGCAATTCTGCCACATGGAGCCTGGCTGGCAGCCACAGCATGGCTCTGGGCAGCCCAAGTCCACTTTTGAATGGTGTACGCTGTCTGTGCCTGTGCCACACCACTTTTTTTCCTCTGCAGATTTTTTTGACCCCTGGATATCCAGGAGTCAAAAAAAACCCTCTGCACTGCTCCTTTGCAGTGCGGAGAATAACTGAACGTATGGTATGTGGTGCTGCAGACGTGCAGCACCACATACTGTGTGGCCATGCTCATCTGGACGCAGCCTTTGAGTCAGACCAAAACCCTGCTGACTTATTAAGGAGCAAAGCTCAATTATACCAGCTATGGCACAGGTGTTCCTAAGGACTGTCAATACATCAGATGAAAGTTAGATTTGGCATAGTGCTTTGCAAGTAAATTTACATTCTCTTAGGGCTGCATTCACAGTTAGCGGAATAAAACTTCTCCCTTGAAATTCAACAGCAGACCTATGTCCAGAGACTGAAGGAAACTCAGAGAAGACAAACCAATCACTGAAAGGCCTAATTACTACTCTGAATAGACAGTGGCCGAGATGAGGGAAACAATGCCCATTTTGTTCCTCTCATCTCTAACAGATTCTGGATAGTATTCAAAGAGCTGTGGATGAATACTTCCAACAGTTTGTAATTTAATTGATTACATAATAATAGGAATATATTTATTCCTATATCTATAGCATATTGTTTATGTTTTTACATATATCTTTGCCTACAAATGATAGGATCTGTAGTATGATCATCACAGTAAGAAATACATAGAAAATTATATAGAGCCTAGGATTATATGAAAGCTTTGACTCTTCCTTTTTGCATCATCAAAATACTTTCTAACAGACCATGAAAATGTGTTTCTACTCAATCTGTTAAAAGTTTATAGGGAAAACAAAAGATGAAGAGGTTGGGTTGCTGTGCTAATACATATTCTACTGCTGAAACACTTTATAGTAATACAAAGAGAAAGTCTAAGATACTTCAACCGTGAGCTAAGTCTCTCAGGAACAAGATGAACTCTAATTTTTTTGCTTTCCCTTGTAGCCAAAACTTTACTGTTAACTGTTTTCTGTCTGAATTTGTCCTTGATTATTTCATACACATCACTAGGTAAAACAACATGAAACGGACTAGATTGTGCTTTGTGGTCTTCACCCTGCAAGGACAGGCTTGTGTAGCAAATACTGGACTTAACTGCTATAGCTACCACTGGTGGAAAATTATCGCATGCTGTGGTAGTTGTAGACAATTCATTAGACAGACGCAATCCACTTGAAAAACTGATTTAGGTCTGGAAATGTTCATTTTATGATTTCATAGACATTTGGCCTGGAAGGGACCCCGGAGGATCAAGTCCAGCCCCCTGCCCCAGGGGCAGGAAGTCATCAGGGATCATACGATCCCAGCAACATAAACATCCAAATGCATCTTGAAGGCATTCAAAGTGGGTGCTTGAACAGCCTCGGGTGGCAGTCTATTCCAAACCTTGGGGGGCTCGGACAGTGAAGTTCTTTCTTATGTCCAGCCTGAAATCGGTCATGGCAGAGTTTGTGATTGTTCGATCTTGTCATCCCTTGGGGCACTCTGGTGAACAGACATTCCCCCAGATCCTGATGAGCATCCCGATAAACTTACAGGTGACCACCAGATCACCCCTGAGCCAGTGCTTTTCCAGGCTGAAGAGTCCCATAGCTCTCAGCCTCTCATCATAAGGCCTGTTTTCCTGACTTCTGATCGTGCATGTGGCTCTCCTCTGCACCCTCTCAAGCTTCTCCACATCCTTTTTGAATTGTGGAGCCCAAAACTGGATGCAGTACTCCAGCTGTGGCCTCACCAAGGCCGAGTACAATGGGAGAATGTCGTCCCAGGATTTGCTTGAGAAGCATCTATGGATGCAAGCCAGCATTTTGCTCACTTTACTAGCTGTAGCATCACACTGAAGGCTCATGTTCATCTTATGGTTGATCATGACCCCCAAGTCCCTTTCATCTGTAATGCTAACCAACGTAGCACTACCGAGCCTATAAGCATGCTGCAGGTTTTTCCTCCCAAGGTGGAGAGCCTTGCATTTTTCAGTGTTGAACACCATCAGGTTCTCGTTCGCCAACTTCATGAGCCTGTCAAGATCTGCCTGGATCACCCTCCTGTCCTCAGGTGCAGCTGCTTTACCCTAGAGTTTGGTGTCATCAGCAAACTTGGTCAGTCCATTTCTGACACCAATGTCTACATCACTGATGAAGATGTTAAACAGTATAGGCCCTAGGACACAGCCTTGAGGGACCCACTGGTTACAGCACATCAAGACAACTGGCTTAAAAATTCAAAGATTACTTCAGCAAAAACAAACAAACAAAACTTTTAAATATTTTTCTTACAGCATGTTGTGTGTATCAGTTTCATAGTTTTCCCTCTAGCAAGAAACCAAAGGGGGAAAAAAAGACTGTAATGGTTAGTCAAAGAGGGAGGTAACAAAAAAAAACAAAAAAAACCCACCTCAAACCATTTTAGAATTCTTTAAAATATTCAAATGAGTTTAAAGATTTTTTTTAAACATGATCAAGCTGGGTATTTTGAAACTGACCAACACCCCCTCAGTATTATATTCATTGTGAGTTGAACTTCGTATGTCAAGTATAAGATGAACAAAATGGAATTAAACTGAATGAAACACATTAGAAAAAAATCCAGACACTTACACTATTGTTTTCTGTTGTAAAAAGAGAAATACTTCCCTTTAAAACAGGGGTGGGCAAAGTCCAGCCCATGGTAGACTCCATTTTCCAGCATCCTCTGCCCACGTTGCTGCAACCAGTTTTCATGGAGACACGGTACTGGCAGCACCTTGACAGCATGGGGCTAGGGTATCCATGGAGACAGGTCCCAACAGCACTGACAGGGCACACAGCTGGGCAGGGAGCTGCTCATTGGTCAGGGCTAGGATCTTGCAGCAGTAACAATGTGGTTTGGAGCCAGGGCAGAGCCACAATCTGCTACCTGCACATCCCAGCCTGCTATTGGGGTCTCTATAGAGACAGGCCGCAATGACACCATCAGGGACTGCTGGGAAATGGGAGTCCAGCCACCAGCCAGATCCACCATTTTGCCCACTCCTGCTCTAAGATCACTTGCAGCTTCGTTCAACAATTGAAGTCTATCTAGATAGTAGTGACCAATTACCTGCCTTCTGAGAAATAAAGGTAATGGGGAAGGGAAGAAAGAAGCTAGGGGTAAACAATCCAAAATTAAGATCATGTGTTGGGTGACAACAAACCTTATCAAACATTGGATTGTTACACTTGTATTACATTTTTTGAAAGGAACATCCATACAAACAAGTACAATCATGAACTCTCATGCTGAAACCGTTCAAGATATCAAGACTGTATTTTACAAAACATTTTACAAACAAAAGTGATTTTTATGAATGTCTGTGTAGTGAAAGTTTTCTGTAGCACAACTTTATCAGTTAATCATTTGTTACTTTTCTTCAACTCCGAGGTAGGGAAATGCGAGTTAGAAATGCATACATGTAACACATAGATGGTATTGACATCACAATATTTAAGACATACAATTTCATCCAAATGCGTGTGCATCTTTGCTCTATTAATTTAGATAAGCTGGAATTAAGTACCTTTAAAATTTGGTCCATTAGTAATAAATTTCCGGATGCTGGAGACTTGGTATCAACTGGGGGCAACATCCAAGGTAATATCCTGACTAATATCAGTGGTCAAGTTCTCTGCTTCAGAAGCAGTTCTATCAGGGAGAGCGACAGCGTTATCCATGCTTTGCTCTTTTTCCAGTTCGTAACTGAGGTCAGAGTTCCCTCTGTCACTGACCTCTTCCTCTGACTCTTCTGTCAGTTTTTCCTGGGTTGGAGCTGCCTCCTCAGAATCTTCCTTTTCACGCAGAAAGCTACAAATCATATTGGGTCTGCTGTATGAGAACTCTTTGTCCTTGATCTGTAACCACTCCACACCACCTGATCCAAAGAAAGAGATTAAACAGTAGTATGGCAGAAGAGGAAGTTTTATTTTTTCCCTTAGTTTAATGAGTTCCTTTGTTTTATTCCAAGACAACATACAAGAGGTAACAGTCTTATCAAGGCTGAGACAAACCACCATTGTAGAAGAGATGGTGTATGCCATAAGCTTCAGCTACAAAAACCCTGAAGGGCAAAGGGAGGGAAACTGACACTTACTTTCAAACCTGGAGAGCATAAAGTATTTCTACATAGAAATTACGCAGTGCCTTCCAGTTGGCCTTACTTCTTTCTGTTGTGCAGGAGAGACCTTTTTCCACTATTACCCTTTTGAAATGAGCAGATCAGGAAAATTCTTAACTAAAATTAATAGCTCTTTAAACTTCCACTGTGCCTAAACATTACAGCACAGAATTCAGAACTGACAGTTTTGTTCCTCCACTATAATGTTCTTTTCAAAGAACTAAGGGGAGAAAGGTCTTTAAAGTTCCTTTCAGATGACTGATAATCACCCATTTTCATTGCTTTATGAATAAGAGCTTCATACCAGAAAGTCCTCCATGTTATACTTCTGGCTGAACAATGGCCAGACAGTAATTGCTATTAAATGATTCAAGATAAGGCTCCCTCTGACACACAAGCTAGTTGTGCAGACTCCAGAGTTCTCTCAACTGAAGGGAGAAGCCAAAGACTGGAGATATAATCTACCACCTGCTGTGTAAAACACAGCTATTAAACAACCTGTCAAACTCACTCTTTTAAAAAATTAAATAACATGCTTAACAGGTTTTTATAGCATCTACTACTGTCAAAAAACTGTTCCAGAATGGTTTCTATATGATTCAAGACACTGAGAAGATGTTTTAGCCAAGCAGTAAGGAGACTACCATATTAAGGGTATCAGTTAACTTGACAGAAAATGGTACCAGAAATAGTCGAAAAGCAGGGCTGTAATTCACAGTCTACAGGTTGCATGCAGCCCACAGGCTTTTGCCCAGCTGCCAATGCCCCCACCCTCATCCCCATCCTATCCTGTTGTGATAGCTGGGTTCTTCAGGCTCCCCCACCCTCCTCCGGCTTCTACTTCCTACCCCTGCACCTGAGAGCAGGGTGGCATAGTGGGCAGGGGCTAGGATGCCTGAGCTGTGCATGAGAAAAGGAGAAACTAGGCTGTAGGTGGTGGCATGCATGACTAGAAGGAATTGGGGAGGAGGGGCACGTTGCCTTTGGTGCCAGGAAATAAGAAGGAATCTAGGCTGACCATGCCTTGCATGTGGCAGCGTGTGGGGTGGGGAAGACACTAGGCTGCTTGTGTGAAGTGGGAGTGCCTGGATTGGGCGTTGTCTTCACAGCAACCACGGACTGTGGCCCTGGCTGCACGGCCATTAAACAGCCCTGGTCTAAGAAATTAATACAAATGCAAAGTATAGCAGGTCTGCAGATTACGCAAATATAAACTAAAACTGGTATTTTTCCCCTCCTCCTGTAAACAATGTGCTCCTCAGAAAACAGATTATTTTAAATATTTATTGATCAGAATATGGCTGAAATGATGAATGTACACATACAGAATGTAACAGGGGAGCCTACCGGGGCCAATCTCCATGTGACCCGCCCCCCTGTTGTTAGGCTAACCGCCTGCCTTCTCGCCCGCTATGCCTTGGTCTTAATAATTAATTAATAGATGTAATTAGGCAGGAGGCTGCCCATTCTCTGCCCCACTGCTAGGGGGCGCTATCTGCCGCTCCATTCCTCCCCTACACAGCAGCCCAAGCCTTGCTGATGACATCTATGTTCTCATACACACCAGTCCCCCCCAGTGGGGCCCAGAATCCTGCTGTAGGACCCCCCAGCTGAGTTTCTCCCTTCACAGGTGGTTCAGGTGGCTGTAGCTGTGCCTGACCCCAACTCTCCTCCTCGGAGGCTTGAACCCCCGCAGGGCTCAGGCGGCCTTGACCACACCTGGCCTCCAACTCTTCTCACGGCTTGCACCCCCCTCCTGGGGGCTTGCACTCCCACAACTACCTCCGGTGTACACGACCCACCCAAAAGGTGAGGGCTAGGGGTTAAGGCGCCCCGACCCACCTTTCACCAGGGTGATCACTGGCCTGGTATTTCCTGGGGACTCCCGCGCCACTGGGAGCCCCACCAGGCCACCCACTCCTGGCAGGGTGTAGTTTCCGGTCGTACCCAGAACCAGGAACCTCCTGCCATCCCCTACAGCTCCTCCCTTACCTCCAGATAAAATTCAGCAGCCCTCAGGCCAGGTAATGTTGTCGCCTGCCCTCCAGCAGCCAAACTGCCTTGTTTATATAGGCAGCCCTGAACCTAAAGTGGCTGCCCTCATTAGGCACCTGGAGGCTGCCAGCTCCAGGGCCTTAAAGTGGCAGGCACACCTAGTGCCCTGCCACACAGACTATATGTCATGTTCAAGAATGTAATTGGTTTTTAGGAGGTAGCTTTCTTTCCTAAGTGTTCAGTTGGGTTATTTCCTATTGCGGAGTCTTTTAATTAAATAACCCACTCTCCAACCTGTTACCCTAACTTATAGAGCAATTTCTTAACAAATCATAATTATCATCATTATCTGCAAGAGGAAAAGTTGCATCTTATGGTTAAGAGAATTATTTCATTTGTACTAAGGCCCTTACACCTGTTGTGTGTGCAGCTCACGTGACACTTTAATATAATACTCTTTTCAACTGAATATTATAACTTTAAACTAAAATAGCTATTTTTTACTTCCCTATATTATTACTTGATGCTTAGGTAAAGTTGTATGAACAATTAGGGCAAAAAGTGCATCTTCAAAACAGATATAAAAATGAAAAGTAGTTTGGTCCAACTTGCAAACATGTTTTTTCCAAGTAGCTATAAACTAACTTTTAGTTCAGTTAACATGTTAACACATTCTTGTTGTTTTAAGAAAGAAAGCTTGTAACTCTTTAGCTTCTGGAATCTTACTGGTACAAAACATATTCACCTACTTCTCATTCTGAGGCATCTATAAAAAGTAGGGTTATTCTTACCCCAATCCCATAATGGCCCCCCATGCATAAGATCAACAATTCTAACCTATGGTCTCTTCTTCTTCCTTCTTCTCCGTTAAGAGTGTTCGTGTCATGTTTAACTTCTTCATTGTGTGGCACTTGTATTTCAACTGTACTTTTTGGTTGCCTTCTGCATCCACTAGAAAGAGAAAAATATTTTAGTGAACATTCCTTTCAACTGATACAATATGAATACTTTATGCCTTGCCTGTCCCTCAGACAAGCCAGGACATTCAAGACATATCACCTACCATGTTCTGCATTTTCTTCAAAGACCACACAGGTTCCAAGGGCATCTAACAAGAAGAACAAAGGACATTTTGTTAAGAAATGAGAGAAATGATTTTCTAAGACCTCATTTTTCAGAGCTGAGCGCTCTCCACTTACACTGAAGTCCATGGAAGATAAGAGAACACTGCATATCACTTAAAAAAGAAAGATTTTGTACATATCATCTTCTCCTACCTTCATACTCTCCAGCAAAGACATATCTGTCCACTTGTAAAATGGGTCTATCTGTGTCTATTCCCTACAAAAGACAAAAAAGAGACAGAAAATTACGCTATGCCTATGATAGTTAAGGCAGATCTCTTGTCAGAGGACTAGAAATAGACAACTGCTCAAATAAATTTGCTGTAGCTCACATACCACCTAAAGTATAGGTTCCCCAAAATGGTATATACAATGCAAGGCAAGAAAGCAAAGCGAAATACAAGCTAGTGAGTCTATTCTGTTATATCCAAATTAGAATAGGGAGAAAGACCAAAGAAAAAATTTTAGTTGTTGATTTACAAACTACAAAGCTTTCTAAAGCCATCATTTTTACATCCCAGGCAAATAAATTAGGTAAGCAAATTAGAAAGCTAGCCAGGAAAAAGAGAGTTTGTACAAGTAGGTTAAGTGACTGAACAGGAAGCAGGCACATAACCAGATCATTGGTGGTGGTAGGACATTGTTTTTTATGGCAGACTCCTAAAAATTGCAGGAGAGTGTCAACTGAAGATGTAACTCATTTTTGGAATTTGTGTACATCTGCCTCTGCATTCTCCTGCAAGTTTGTATGGTTTTCCAATTATTTTCTCCTGTGTTTAAAGTGTTCTCTCGCCTGTTTCTGAGAGATCCACACAAGCAACAAGGGAAGTAACTATACAAAAGAATAAGTGAAACACTTGATATCAGCCAGAACAAAGTACTATCAAACAGAAAAAAACCCAAACCTCTCAGTCATAACCTCAAGGTGGTATTTTAATACAGAATCATGCATTTTAGTTGATAGTGTCCCAGGAATTTTACTACATCCCTTTAAAAAGGGTTTGACCTAGTAAAAGCTACAATATATAAAGAGGGAAGGGGACTGTTACTGAAATCCAAAGAAGCATGAACTAAATTGTGTTCAGTCTGTTTGTTTACAAGAAGCAGTTGCAAAAAGCTGTTATTGCTTCCAGAAAGTACTATTTTAATCCACAGCTTTGCTTTAGTAAATTTATGTGCATGGAATACAATTCATTCCCTATGGGTCAGCTCCTTTATCTAGGATCAGGGCTCCATGCTAGGGGAAGTCTGTGACAGCAAGAAAGTGGAAGGAATCCTTATCAGAGTTGCAGATCAGCACAAAATTGGTTTCTGTAGAAGAGTAGGGGGTGTGGGAGGAGGAAAATCTACGTTCCCTCCCTTCCCCTTAGTATCTGGAAGTCAAGCAGCACCAACAGTAAAGGGGAAGGACACAGGGGCAGTTGAAATGGGGCAACTGCAGAGCCTGCTCAGAGGCAGCAAACAGAAGAAGCCCCTAGACAGGTCTGGGAACGTGGAATGAACTAAACACTTACCTGCAGAGTGCTCTCAAACAGAGGGGAGAAGTATCCCAGCAGGAAAAGCCCATGTTGCAGAAAGCCCCAGGAGAAGAGAGAGAGAATCCAACCCCCTTAAGGTTCCCAATGGGAAACAGAACCCCTGGAAAGGGACAGCCCTATTTGGAAACACTAAGACAGGGCTGGAACAACCCAGGCTGTTTATAACCTCAAGGGAGGAGTCACTTGATGTTAACTCAGCCCAGGTGTCTCCCCTCAATGCAGGACAGACCAGCTACAGCTGGGGACCAGAAACCAGGAGTGCAGGGCAGAGAGCCCAAAAGAACACAAGCAGTATGAGAGGAAAAACACCGTGCTGGAAAGCAACTGGAGACTAGGGTTGAGTAATGCCCCTACCCATATTTTTGCATTTTTGTTTCTAATGGACTACAGAGGCTTCTTGGGAACAACAGCAGGAGCCTGTACTTAAGCCCAGAGGACTGTGGCAGGGGTACTAGGGTTGGAGGAGCCAGGTCTGTGGGCAGAGGTGTACAGAGAGCAGATCTGCCCTGAGCCCTAGTCCTGCGTGTTCCCAGCCCAGCCTATCTGTACCACTCCCGGATGCCACTCCTCACCTGCTGACAGTCCCACCCCATCTACCCAGCTGTGTGCATCCTAGGACAGTCTCTATGGAGACCCTAGGATCTCTGGGTGGTGACAGAGTGCAGGGCTGGAGCCCAAGGCAGAGCTGCAATCCACTCTATTGCAGGGGTGTGTGGGGGAGTGGATCACAGCTCTGCCCTGGGCCTCGACCCCACGCTGTTACCTGCCAATCCTGGCTCTGGCTGTCCTGCCACTGGACACTGCTCCACACCTGCCCATAGCTCCATCCCATTCACCCAGCCACATGCAGGGCAGAGACACTTTGGGAGTTTTGGTGAGCTGTTGCCAGGGGGGAAGAAGGGGTGTTGACCTAGTCCACAACAGCTCACCAAAACTCCCTAAGCCGCCCTCCAGCCCAAATAATTGCCCACCCCTGCTTTAGCTTCGCTGACAGGCCTTCTCGTGTGCATGAAGTTAAGCATGTGCCAAATGTTACCAAGGCAAAAAGCCGTTTTTGTTAATTTTATAAAATCTACAATGGGTATCCTGACTCTGAGTATTAATTAATATAACATTAATATTGTTGATATTAACGAATGTTAATATTACTTTGTCTCTCCCGTCAAGAAAGTAAACATTTAACTTGTATTGACACTTAAGTCTGCAGTTCCACTGCAGACTTTTTTTGCAGAAAAAATAAATAGGCATCAGTAGTACCAAAGTTGCATACAGAAGTGCAGATCACTGCACTGTTTTGATAAGAGAATGCAAAAACTTTAAAAGTATAGTAGCATGTGGTAGCAATGTGATTTTTCAGTACAGGTTTCACTTGCTTTATGCAGGTTCTGTATGTGCGAATTCGCTTTTATGCAATGACCCTTTTTATACCAAAAATTCATTATACGTGAGATAAATTCACTCTTATGAAGTGTGGTAGAAGCTCAGTCAGCTGCTTTGTGCAGTGCATTGTGGGAGTGATGTACACCAAAACATACTCCGCTGTGTTGATCTGTGCTCCTCACTCGTTGTCTGCGACGTGTTTCTGTAGTCGCCATCCCAACTATGGCTTGTAAGTGTACCGGTAGCTTATCTCCTACCAATCTCCCTAGTCCATCACCACCCTCTCTTCATACCAACTAAACATACACCACCACCCTGTGCTTGTGTATACTGTCTGGTGTTGGCAAGTACAAAATTGTCTTGTAAAAATGGTACAAATGGGTCTGGGAGTCAGTACAGTCAAGGTCTTGGAACATGTCCCTATTTGTTACATTGTAAAGTGGGTTCCCTTTATGTGAATTTGAGCTATGCACCATTTTCCAGGAACAGATTCACAGCATAAAGTAAGGGAAACCTGTATTTGAAAACCTTATATTTATTTAGTTGGTTGGTTAGGATTTTTACTCCCTTTCTCTCCAGAAACAGTTACTAGAATCTGAGAGAGCTATTCAAAATAAGTGTGGAATTTTTTATTCTATTTTTTTTAATTGATCCCCATGACCCAAAGAGAATTTTTCAAGTGATTCTGATTTTGGGGAGAATCTAAGAGGGAACTGAGTGCGAGAAGCACATCCTGTAAATGCAGGGTTTTTTTAACAAGAGTACAATAGAAAATGAAGGCATACAACTTAAAGCTGCTGTATGATATCAGTGAAAATATGCACCAAGGCAACAAGCAAAATGGGTTTCGCTTAACACTGTTTCGCTTAGCGCTCAGTTTTTCCAGAACCAATTAAGAGCGCTAAGCGGGGTTGCCTGTAACTTGCTTCAAAGCATGGAGGCATATTTATTCACCAGAACAAGAATTTATAAACATACTTATAATGCATTTTTTTCTATCGAAAACCACAACTGAAATTTTAGGAATGGATTTTATTGCATCAACTAGAAGTCAAAAAACATCCTCCCATATTTCTCTAGTTTCAGATCTAACCAAGTAGTCAAGTTTCACATAACATTTTGCATCTGGAAGATTGTCTTTTACAGAGCTATGGGACATTCCCAATAGTTTTCAGGGACAAGAGAACTTATCTCACATTTGGGAATCAATTAAATGACCCAGGTGCAGAACAGTGAAAAACTGAGGTCTAGGTAACTCTGCCTTTTATAGTAACTTTGTAATGAAGTGGCAGAACATGTGGGTTATAAGTGTAGTATCCAGGGCTGAAAGAGAGCAGAAAATATGATATAATTAAAGTAGAAATGGGTTTTGTTTGCAAGCTGTGTTCAAGCTATTTCAGAAAGTGCACTTGTTCAAACTGATTTTTTTAACTCATTAAGGGTAACATTTTCAAAAGCCCTTAAGTGGCTTTGGAGCCTAAATGTAAGATTCCTAATCCAGAATTATTTTAAACATTCTCTCCTAAGTTTCGCACACCTGTAACTTTCAAGGTGCGGATGTTACCTGTTGAATGTACAGACCATGTAGGCAGATTATCATCCCAGAAACCATGCATATTTCTATACGATGGAGCTGATCCAAAATCCATTGACTCCAACAAGCTTTGGAACAGATCCAAAATTCTTTCTTGTTCTTATGAATCTCACTTGCCCCTTCGCTATTTGTTGTAGTTGTACTTACCAAAATCTTGCACTTGTTTTCACATTTTTCTAGGAAGTCTGAATCAATAATTCCAGATAATTCCACCATGACCAGCTGCTCCTATGAAATAAGTTTATAAAATACATTTGTAAGGTGCTTAGAACGACAAATTAAAAATAACCACTTTAAATAAAAAACCGTGCATTAAAGTAGATACTCCTCAGAACTGGTAAATACAAAATTTGACCTATATATATTGTTTGCTAAGTGACACAGGAGCTCTTGCCATACCAGAATTAAATCATGACACAGTTAGGTACCTACTGAAATCATGGGGGGAAGACTGCTGCATGACTCCTTTAATCTAGCTCATTTTGCTACACTTCCCCCACTCAATTGGCAGGGGAGGGAGTGTGGGGGGAAGGGAGAGCGGTAGCCCCACCACTTGCTTCTGATTGGCCAGGAGGCAAAACCCATGATTTTAAATATGCCAGTTTAAAATATCCTACAATTTTTGTCTCCTCCTGCTAATTGGTCTAGGGGTCCTAGCAGCCTTGCTCCTGATCAGCTGGGAGGCAAAAATCATGGCATATTTAAACCCACGGTTTTTGCCTCCTAGCCAATCAGTAGCAAGTGGCAGGGCCACCAGGGTCCTCCTGCCAATCAGGGACGGGATGCAGCAAAATGAGCTAAATTAAAGGAGTCGCTGTGTAGCACACTTCCGCTGCAGTTTCAGGAGGTGCCTACAAACAGCATGATACTTTGTCCCTATTGGCTGCGTATACAACACACCTGAATGTGATAGCTGTTTCTACTTCATCTCAAATTTCTTTTTACCCAAAGGATAAGGACCAAAAGCCCTTAATAATTTTATGCTACTTAATACAACTCCACATTTATGCTCATTTGTTCTTAAATAAATGTGATAGTTTAATACTGCCTTCAGCAATGTGTTACAGTAATAATTTATATTGGTTAATTAGAAAGTGGTTTTAAAAAAGTTCCTTTTATCTGTTGACTACGTTTTGCCTTAAAATTTGATTTGCTTGTGTCATTCCTTATTGGGAAGGGGGTGAGAAAAAGAACATGATTCTACTGGATCCTTGTAAATCTTTCTTTCTGAAAGTGACAAGAAAGTCTCCACTATTTTTCTAATAATTACCAATGAACACACACAATTTTTAAAAGCATGGTAAAAATTGTAACTTCAAAGCAGATAGTTTAAACATTTTTTTAAATGTACTGAAAAAGAGTGAGAAAGTATTACTTTCAAACTCTTTTCTGGTTTCAGTTGCCCACAGTTGACCTTTATTTGCCATCACAATCCTTTGCTGTTATGCAAATAAATATCTGAAATAAAAATGAACTTTATTATGATTATTTTCAAAATATGGCTGTACTTAAAAGTCCATGTATGTTAAAGAACAAATTACAGATCAGGAACCCAGAAATCTAGGTACTATTTCTGACTCTGCCAGTCACCTGTTCTGGTGTTGGGGAAAACTGTCCTTTTCTGCACTTCTCATACAAACAATTTATATCAAGTTAAAATGAATGTACAGGGCTTTACCATGCATCATTGCTCCTTGGTAATGGTTTCTTTCATGCATCCTCTTCTGTCCTGTGGTAAGCAGAAACTAAACAGGAGCAGCTTCCTCCTGAAGGAAACAGAGCCAAGTTTAGCTTCTTCCATTTACTCTGAGACAGGAGTAGGCACTCAAACCAATTACTGCAGAGCAGTGGTTGCATGGTGAGTTCCCTTCACCCTTTCAAACCTTGATCTGTGGTGTTCCTAGCACAATGAAGACCTCTATTTACTGTCTTATGACAAAAATAAAACCACCCAGTAAGTAACATTTCTAGAAACCTGTGTGAAAATATATCAGTATCAGTATCAATCCACTTTCTGGTAGACTAGTGTTCCCACCACAAGTCACAATCATAATAGTATATTATGTATCAAAGGCTTGACCTACAAGATCAAGTTTTACAATTTCAAAATGCATTATTTATACAGTGCCTAAAACTGGATAACGATCAGCTTGGAGCTGGACAGATCATGACCAGTACCTTTCTGACTCAAGAGTGACTGGAGACAGATTCGGTCACATTCAGTGACTTGTATGTGTTTGTGAAGTATTCCTGTGCCTACTCACATTTGAACAACGTTCCTGTGCGTGCACACGTGTGTAAACTATTACTGTGTGCGCAAAGCCTTACGGTGCTGGTGCTGGCACAGTCCGACAGGTTACTGCGCGTGCACAGGCCTGCGCGAACTGTTATCGTACACACGCACGCATAAAACGTGTATGTGCCCAAGCATGTCTGAACAGCTACTGCGCATGTGCGGACCCAATTACTGTGCGCAGGCCAACCCGCCCCGCCCCTTTGTGACCGTTACTGGCCGCAACAGAACGGCACGAGAGGCCAGTAACGGCCGCAGCAGGACGGAACCCCCAAGCGCAGTGCGAGGGATAACGCTGACCCACCTCCACCTCCTCGCTCTTGCTTTCTGCGTCCAGCGCGTCTCCCTCCGCGGCCGCCATGTCCCCGCCAGGGCGCGCCCCACGTGACCCCGACGCCGCCATCTTACAACCGGGCGGGGCTGAGATGTGGGGGAGCAACTGCTAGTGGTTTCTTTCTAGCCCGGCACGGGTAGGGCCGCGCGTGTGCAGAGTTCCAGCGCCTTTTTCCCCCGCCACGCCCCGAGCGCTGTGCTGCGGGGCCTGTGCGCGCTCTTCCTCTTGCGCGGGTCTGCCGCGGGGCCCCAGCAGCTCCCTGGGCTGCCTCAGCGGTGCTGGCCTCGTCTCGAGAGCGGCGGGGGTTGCTACGCGATGTCAGGGGCGCAAACACCATTCACATAAAGAAACCCAGAGGCATCTTTCCCATGAGAGCCCTGGCCTGGCTCCCACGAAAACTCCCCCAATAAGTTTCCACGGTCAAGGAATGAGTGAGGGGTGCTGCCAGCCTTTAAAAGAGCTCCTGCTCTAAGGATGAGGCTGAAGTTGGTGCCTCGTTCCCAGTTGCCTTAGTGTTAAGAAGGAACTGGGAATAAGGCACCGATTCCAGCCTCCTAGTCTATGGGCTGTCTTGCGCTGGAGGCTGGTGAGCCCATGTGCTGATGGCTCAAGATAAAAATGGCATCCAGGCTGACCTTCCTAGCCTGTATCCTAAAACAGTGGTAAAAAATTAAACTAATAAATGAATACACATAGTTTCCTGTCAGATACCTGGCAAAAGGCTTACAGATGCTTTTGGGCCCTAATTGCATGGCCTTGCCCTTGGCAAGTCAGTTGAATGGCATTCCTGTAAATCCAGGCCTCATGGTTCTCTCTGCTCCTTTCTCTGTGGCCTCCCTTAGACCTCCTAACATTGTGCTAGTGAGTGTCTGTGGTGCACACCTGCTTTTGTGCCAGTGTCCTGTGAAGATACTGAACAGATGCATCTGAGGACTGATCTTTGAGGAACTTTACCACTAACCTCCCTCCTGTCTACCTGCTGCTCCCTCTTGTTTGCTGCCTTCTGCCTGTTGGTCCTTACCCTCTTGGCAATTCTATTAATTAACTAATAATTTCTCCTGTGGCCCTGTAACAAATGCTTTACTGAAGATTTACTGTGTTTTCCTTGTCTAGAAAATCAGTTATCTTCTTAAAGAAAGATACCAGGTTAATCTGACCCAATCCATATGGTAAACCCATGTTACAGTTTTACTCCATTTTTATTTTATCTCCATATTTTACTTTTCTTGACATTTTCTGTAACTGTCTGGATTATTCCCCCTTCCCTTTCTTCAAGCATACATTCATCATCATTATCCTCCTGGAACACTGAGACAAACTATTCATTTAGATTTAATTAATAAAGCACATGTTCAGTCTTATATATTTAACATTATTCTTGTAAAAAATATATTGCTTATGTACACAGTGGATCAATGTTCACCAAACTCTTCCTGGAATACTTACAGACTTTTTACTATAGTGCATGAGGTCTTCTGTCAGATTTAAAATGTATGCCATCCACTGTTTCAGCTGTCTAGCTGCCCAGAAGTAGTTGACAAGAAATCTAATAAAAAGAGGGAGGGGAAAAAGCATGGCGAGTCATTACTGCACAGAACAGTGCTTCTCAACCTCATTAGACTCAAAGCATTGCTTGGAAAATACCGGCTCTTCATTTCTTGACTACGGAAAAATAATATAGCAATTCTTCTGTTGCAAAGAACTCAGAAAGACCACAACAGATCAGAATATTTTTGACACTATGGATTCTTATTTGAACGCTCTGGATTTATCTGGTAAATTGTTTGCTGGTGTTTGCATGCCTAATATTGCATGACACCCCACAGCACCCTTAAAAGGGCTTCCCATCACCCTAGTTGAAAATCACTGACTTAGAAGATATTGCAGGATTAAATGACAAATATTTTTCCTAGCAACATTTTCATCTGTTCTGTTTAATATAGATGTAAAGCTTTCCATGAGGGTCTCTGCAGAGAAAAATGAATACCTCAAATGCCCAGAACAAAACTATCAGTTTTTAGCATCTCCTGTCACTCATTTCCTTATTGCTTTCCTCTTCTTTCTTGCTGTTTAGGGAATTCATGTATATAAGGTCCCACACTACTATGGGAGACTAATAGTGCTGCAAGAGACATTTTCATATGTAAGCTATTGTGGGACTGGAGCTTACCTGATCTCTGCAGAAATAGAGTTTAATGTTCATAGGCTGAAAATGTAGGCTATGGCTGCTTGAGCCAGGAGATGTACAAGCTATAGCCTGTTATCATAGTTTCATAGTTGTTAGGGGCAGGAAGGGACCTTACATATCATAGGGTCCAGTCCCCTTGCACTTGGGCAGGAAATAGTGCTGGGATCAAATGATTCCTGCAGGATGGATGTCAGGATGTTTTCTGAAGATCACCAGGGTGGATGGCTGTACCACCTCTGGGGGAAACCTGTTCCAAACCCTCAGCACTCAGCTTGTAAAGAAGTTTTTCCTTATGTCTAGTCTGAAGTGATCTTCAATCAGCTTGTGTCCATTATTTCTTGTCTTCCCCTGGTGGGCCTTGGTGAATAGATGCTCTCCCAAACCCTGATGTATGCCCCCGATATACTTACAGGCTGCAACCAAATCCTCTCTGAATCTTCTCTTCGCCAGGCTGAACATTCCCAAGTCCCTCAGCCTGTCTTCATATGTCTTGGTCTCCAGGCCTCTAATCATGTGTGTGGTCCTCCTCTGGAGTCTCTCTAGCTTCTCCACATCCTTCTTAAAGTGCAGCGCCCAAAAGTGGACAAAGTACTCCAGTTATGGTCTCATCAAGGCCGAGTAAAGTGGGAGGATGACATCCTTTGCCTTGCTTGGGATGCCTCAGTGGATGCATGCCAGTGTTTGGTTAGCTCTGACAGCTATGGCATCGCACTGGTGGCTCATATTCATTTTATTGCCAATCATGACACCCAGGTCTTGTTCAGTTGTGGTGCTGGCAAGCAGAGCACTGCCGAGCCTCTGCATCATGGGTTATTTCTCCCCAGATGGAGCACTTTACATTTCTCTGTATTAAATGACATCAAGGTGAGGTCTGCCCACTTCACAAGCCTGGCCAGGTTGGCCTGTATTGCTAGCCTGTCTTCGAGCGTGACAACACTCCCCCATAGCTTGGTGTTGTCAGTGAACTTTGCCAGATTGCTTGTAATACCACGGAGCCAGTTACCTAGCCACTGTGAAGTTGTTGAGGCCACATTTTCCCAATTTGACCATGAGGACATTATGGGAGACCAGGTCAAAGGCATTTTTGAAGTCCAGGTATATGACATCAACCTCATTCCCTTGATCCAAGTGGTGAATAACCTGATCATAGAAGGAAATGAGGTTGGTCTGACATGATCTGCCCATGATAAAACCATGTTGGCTATCCTTCCGAATACTGCCTTCAGTTAGCCTATGTGTGATGGTTTCTTTGATGATTTTCTCCAGGATTTTACCTGGGATTGAGGTCAAACTGATTGGCGTGTAGTTTTCTGGGTCCTCCCTTCTCCCACACTGGCTTTTTTCCAGTCTTCTGGGACCTCTCCCAAGCGCGGCAAATCTTCAAATAACTTCACCACTGGTAGTGCGATGACATCAGCCAGTTCTTTTAGCACTCTTGGGTGTAGTTTGTCCAGTCCAGTCCAGCTGACTTATAGATATTTATCCTTTGTAGGTGCTCCCCCACAAGATCTACATCAATTGTGGGGTCAGTTGTGGAGGGTGGTCACCCCAACCATGGTCATCCTGTATCCTGTCAAGCAGGCTAATATCCTTGAAATGGTGGAATACTGATGTGAAGTATTCATTCAGGAGTTAGGTTTTGTCCTGGGTGTCAGTTAACAGCTATCTCATTTAATTTATCAAGGGCCCTATGCTTTCCTTGTTCCTTTTGTGACTCGCTACATATTTAAAGAAGGACTTTTTGTTATCATTGATTCCAGTTGCGAGTTTATGTTCAGTTTGTGCTTTCATTGTCCTGATCTGCTCCCTACGGGTGTGGGTGGCTGCTGAGTATTCCTCTTTGGTACTTCCTGACTTCCATCTCTTGTAGGCTTCTTGCTTTGATTTCAGGAGGTCCATGACTTCCCTCTAGAGAATTCTTGGTTGAGCTGTTCCTCAAGTAGCTTAACCCAGTGTTTACCCAGTTATCATCATTAATGAATGATGAAGAAAAGCAGTTCCAAATGCAACAGCAGAGACTCCCTATGCCTGAAGAAGGGTGCTTGTGCCCAAAAACTTACAAAGAACTTTTTTCCAACTACTCAGCCGGTCTAATAAAAAATATCAGAATACAGTGATATATTCCAAATGGTGTTTTCCTTTTGAGTTGAGCAGATAGAGCATGTGTCATCCACCCAGTACAGGTGCTTGATAAAACTGCAGAATTAAAATCTACAAGATTTTTTAAATTAAAAAAAATAGATTTTTAATTTTTATTTCATATTCTGCCACTAGAAGGAGGTAGATGAATAAAATATTCCTTCATTTAAAGATCTTGATCAAACATTTTGAGTCAGATTCTAAATTAGTTTTTAATTTTCATGGGAGTACATAAATGTAGATAATATCAGTTTGGTGATCTCATGCCTTGTGTTCTGAGTTCATGCTAGTAAAACCGCCCTTTTAATGATCCTTAACTACTGCACTTGTAATCACTGAGTAATTCTCCTTAGTAATTATGTTTTTGGACTGAATATTGGAGCTCTTAGGCAGAGTTCATGCCATCTCAAGTAAAACTGTGCCAGAGTAAGGACTGCAGAATAAAACTGCTCATTGTCAAAGCATTTTATGAACATTGAATAACTGGCATAAATCACAGCATTCTTGTAACATAGGGCTATAATTACTATAATCTTTTAATGGATGGAGAAACAGAGGCAGAGGTGAAGTGACTGACTCGAGCAAAAGGCCTCATGAAATCAAAGACTAGATAGAACTCAATAACTTCTGTCTTAGTAGCTCAGTAGATGGATGATCTCAAACTGCATCTTTGCTTTAGATTTAGGGCATACATTTTTAAAGATTTTTACATGTTAAGATTTTTACATGTTAGGTGATGCAACCCTGTTAAGTGTTGCAGCACCTAACCACTAGTCACCCTGCTGCTCAGTGGACTCCTCCAACTGAAG